GGACAGGGAGAGCTGCACTCCTGTGCCGTGGGGGTGTGGAAGGAGCAGGAGGAGCAGGGACAGAGAGGCTCGGAGCAGTCAGTGCTCCTCTGCCATCCCCGGCGCTGGGTCTGTGCACTGCTGGGTGTGCTGGGCAAACTGGGAAACTGGGACTGACCCCTGGCCCCGGGGCTGCTGCTGGCTGTGCCAGGGAAGAGTAAACAGGAGCCTCTTGCACCCAGTGCAAACACAACAGTTCTCAGGGATTTTCTGCCAGGCAAAGGGTTCTCTGGCTGATTCCCTTCCCCTCCAGCCTCGGGTGGCGTGGGAGCAGACTTTCTTAGGCTTACATCCCTTTCAGGTGTCCCTTTTTGTGCCACCTTCACTTCCCCACCAGAAATTTTGCTTATTTCTGTTACCAAAACTGTTAAAAGTTAAAAGGGACAGCCTTGGAAAGAGACAGCAGCATCCCTGGGAAGTAACAGTGATCTAGGGAGGAAAGGGAAGAGAATGGCCACTCCTTTGGATTTCTAATGGCACAATTTGGGGTGGGGCAGGCACTGAAGACAAAGAGAGCACATGGCTCTGGGGGGGGACACCAACGTGGGAATACTCATGAGCTTTGTCACTTTGATCGCTTCATCTGGGCCCCGAAATGGGGAGGGCGGGAGGGCAGGACCCCCAGCCCGGAGCAGGGGCTGTGCTGGGGGGACAGGCTGGGGTCGGTGGCCGGGGAGGGCGCGGAGGGAGCCCGGAGCCCTCTGGCTCCGCGGAGCCCGGCGCTGTTTACTGAGCTCTGTGGTTGGATTACACCACGTACAGTAATTCTCCTCGCACTGCCAGTAATTTCACTGACTTACCAAGCAGGCATCATTTCCTGAAAGTCAGCCCTGGACTTAGAGGAAGTAAGAGCCCTCTCGTCGTGACTAAACACTCTATGCAAATCTCCGGGCGCAGGACAGCGGCTCTGCCGGGCCCTTTGCCTCCATTTTCCCTCCCGCCTGCTGAATGTTGGTTTTTAAAGCCCCCGATGAGCCCTGGCCGTGAATGGACCTTTCCTCACTTTGCACTGAGCACCCTCCCCCTGCCGCTGCCGCCGACAGCCCCCCGAATGCTGCTCTAAAATGTCCCAAATGCACTTCTGGCTAAAGTTCCCGTCTCTCTACAAGGTAATGCCTGATTTTTCCTGGTTTTTTTCCCGCTCCTCGGAATTCCCGGTGCGCTTGGCTGTGGGCAGCCGGCCCCAGCTGCTCCCCGGGCGGGTGTCCCAGGCGGTTCTGCGGTGGCAGCAGAGTTTTGGGAATGATGTCTGTCCGCGTTGGGCGCCGGGAGCAGATCTGTTGTCCCGAAGATGTGATTTATATTTTGCTGGAACCTGCCTTGCTGGACGCTGTTCTGTCAGTCAGAACTCGGTCACTGAGTGTGGAATTTGGAGGGAAGGAGCTGTGTGGGAATCGATCCGTGTGTTTGTGTGGGTGTGATGGCTTTGGGGGGTTTCATTTCCGAAGCAGATGCTGGGTGCAGGGAGCGAGGGGAGCACCGGCCGGCCAGGGCTGAACCCTCCCCATTGCCAGTTTGTCGCCCTGAATTTAGAAAACTTTTGAGGTTTGGCAGCTGAAAGATTTTATAGTGATTGTCTGCAGCTCCTGAGACACAATGTGCTTAGTCTGTGATTTCTGAGGTGCCAGATCTCTCCTTGCTGACAGCGTGGCTGTGGTTGTGGGTGTGTATTTGGGTATATACATGGTTTTTTTGGTTTTTAATAAAACCCCCCCTCGCCTGGGTGCTGTGCTGTGCAGTCATCCAGAGCTCTCTGCAGACACTGTTTCCTCAGTGTCTGGATTGTGAGAAAATAAAACATTTCTATTGATGGCCAAAAATATTTTTAGGATGCTCATTCCTTCTGTATTTAGACTTCACCTGTTCTTTTTTTTATTTATATCATTTATTTATATAATTATTTTTAACACTTTGTTTTGACCAAAATAGCTGAGCTGTTCCCAGGGGCTTGGAGAAAGGTCGAGTGTTTGGGCTGCTTTACCCTTATTTTTTCCTGGTCTTTTCTAGGGAGTGAGTTGTTGGGTTTGATAATCTCAGTTTTGGGATAATGACAGGAATACCATGTGCCACAGCAGCATCAGTTCATCCTCTGCTCCGAGACCCACCTGCAGCTCTGCCCCCAGCTCTGGGTCCTGGGCCCAGGACAGGCCTGGACCTGCTGGGGCCAGTCCAAAGGAGGCCACGGAGATGCCAAATTCCAGGAATGAGATTTATGTAGAAAATCATTGTGGAAAAACATCTGAAGTAAAAATCCTGCCTGGCAGGACAAATTCCATCTGTTGCAGAAATGCAACTTCTACTGAAGCAGAAGTGCTGTTACTGTGAAACCTCATGATTCCAATGAGAAATCCTTAAAATTCTGGTTAGTCAGTCTGAAACAGGGACAAAATAACTTGTTTCAAACCCCGACACCTGAGGATCCTGACCATGAGCTCTTGGTTGAGGTGATGATCCTTCTTTCTCCCCACCCCAGGACATCAAGGCAGCTTCTCCAGTTTGGGCCAGATAAACCAGTGGAGTGATTAGTCCAGGCATGGTTTGTACTGGTTGTGGTTATTTGTGGCCTTTTGTTAATCAATTACTCTGGGTTTGACAGAAGCAGGGCCAATTTAGTGCCTGGTGGTGGAAGTTCTTTGGGCGGGGAACCTGGCAGGTGATTAACTTCAGTGCTCTTTAGATAATGCAATTAGTTAAGACAAATGGGAGACTCTGGAAGTTGGTGACTAATGCCTTGTAATGCTGGGAGAGGATGGGATCACTGCATCACTTCCAGGACTGGTATTGTCCTCCCTCTGCCTTGGAGGCTGGTTTCCTCTCCCAGTTCAGCCCAGTGCCCTGAGCAATGGTGGGGCTGGAGCCTTCTCTGGGGATGGAAAGGGCTGGGTTTGGGAAGGTGGGGGACACTTGCTGGGGTGTCACAGGGCTTTCCCAGATCCTGCTGCTATTCCAGGTCAGCCCTTGCCTGGCCTTGGGACCGGACATGCAGTGGCCACTCTGGGCTGCCCCACAGCCTCCTGCTGCTGTAACACGATGTGCAGATGTTTCCTCCTGACCCAACCTCTGTCAGTGCCACTTGCAGATGAACAAACCCTGCTCAGAGGTGTCTCACCATGGCTCAGTGACGGGACCAGCCGGGGATCCTGCACAGGGGCACTCGCTCTGGCCAAGGCCGTGTTCACCCGAGTGCTGTTCTGCTTTCTCAAGTGTGAAACGGACCCCAGAGATCCCCTAATTCTGAGGTGATAAATCTGGGTGCCTGTTCGCCCTGCAGACACTTTGGTTTCTGGGTAATCCTAAAATAGCCCCAGAAATACCAAGAGCAAGAGCTGCACAGGAAGCACTGCCCGTTGGGCACATGGCAGCACCCACTGCTGGCAGGAGGTGCCACCCTGCTCTGCCAGACCCATGGACAGCCCTTGCTCCTGGAGTTCCTGGGTCCCCTGGTTGGTATTTGAGGAATCCAACCCCCCACATCACACCTGCCATTCCTTTAGTGCCTCTGTGCACCGCTGCCAGTGCCTGCACACAGCAGCTTCAGGAGACATCCCTGGGAAGAGGGGAAGGGAACGTGTCCTGGAGGTTTAAACACTGAAACCCGTAACTTTGGATAGCAATTAGGGGATGTCTGACCCAGCTCTTGGCCTGAAGCTCTCAGGAACAGCACGGCCAGGCTCAGCTGCTCGAGGGTTTATGTCAGGCAGGGCTAAGTGACTCTTAAAACTCTTTGGCTGCCTTTCTGCCTGGAGTGGGAATCTGGCCCTTAACTAGAAATGAGCAGCGATTCCTCCTGTACCAGCCCCTGGCTCTGCTGGCAGAGGGTTATCACGCTGCTCTGGCTGGGCTGTGCTGACAGAGCTGACCCCTGTGAGGAACCACAGACCTCGCTGGTGTTGGCAGAGTCTGTGAGGCACCAGGACAGACCAAGTCTGTCTGCCCATCCCTCTGGGATAGAGGCTCGTCTCCAGCCAGACCTGAGTGCTGGAGCTTGGTGCTGGAAGTACATTGATCTTCAATAAACAGCAGACAAAGTTCTTCTGCTTTGACAAAGTTTGAAAGTGGTGTTTGGTATGGGAGGAGGGCTGAGGTGATGGGATGGAGCCGGGGAAGGGGCAGGGATCTGTGCCACAGCCAAGGATGTAGAGCAAGAAGTGCTTATCAGCTCTTGGTTCTTACCACCTGGAATATAGAAATCAGACCAGAGGTTGATGTTAGGGAGGGGACTGAAGGCTCTTTCTGAGCCAAAGTCTGTGTGAGACAAAGCAACAGCATGACTGGGCTGGCACCAAATAAAACAATTGCAAACCCCCTCAGCCCAGGCACCAGAAAAAGAGCAAGAGCAGAACCTGGTCCCTGGAACACAGTCCTTGTCCAGGCTGAGGCTGGCCCTTGGGAAGAGGATGGGTAGATTTGCCCAGATTTACCTAAATGCAAATCCAGGTGACAGCAGCACTCCTGGGAGCCTCGTGTGTGCAGGGAGGAGAGGGATGTTTCCCGGGGGCTCCGGGTAGAGCTGTGCTGGAAATTGCAGTGAAAGAGCCACGCTGTGATCAGGTGTGGCTGGTTCTCTGTGGGCCTCTGCACATGAATGAAATCCTGGAGTCCTTAGGGGGTCAGGCTGAGGCCTTTGCACCCCTCAGCAGCCTCTTTAATCAGGCACAAACTGCAGGGAACCGATGCCTCTCTCGCACTCCTCCGAGTGCAGGGATGTGCACAGCCCGAGTCAGCCCTGACTGTGTGCCTGCACTCCTGGCCAGGGCTTTTCCTGCTTTTGCAAGAAACAGGTTTTCCAACTGCTCCACAGAGGGTGTCCTCAGGCTCAGGTTAATCTCTGAGCTTTGTGGAGCGTGAAGTGATGGGACTGCTCATCCAACAGCAAGAAATTAGAACTTGCTGGCTAAGTGAGGAAGGAGCTCTCTGGTCTCATCCTGTCTCCTCTAACTGTGGTCGTGTCTCCATTTCAGGATTCTTCATACCTCGATGAGCTCTCCAACAACTCCCTGTTCTCGTCCCCCGCGGATTCCCTCTCGGACATCGCGGATCCCAAGGACTTCCTGCCCGCCGACAGCCTCAACCACGTGCCAACACTATGGGATGTGAACACGCCGCAGAACCCCATCGAGGTAGGGGCTGCTCCTCCCTCCTCCTCCCCAGAAGACACCTCAGGCTTCGTCCTGTGGGGCTTTTAAGGGATTCAGAAACCAACCCAATTCCCTCAGGGTGAAGTTGAGGTGTGATGACGCTGTTCTGGTGTTACCAAATTCACTGGAGGAGGGAAGGGGTGAAGTGGTGACACATATTTGGTCTCCTGGGAGCAGAATGGAATCTGGGCACCCTCAGAGGGATTCACACACTCTTCCAGAGTGCAGCACAGGCACTAGCTCTTTCTCCTGGCAGCTGTGGCAGGGAGGTACATCCCGAGGAGGACGTATCCCTAAAACATTCAGCAGGTCCAGTGTGACCTGGACAGGGCACTCAGGAGTGCTGAAGGGATGGGCTCCAGGAAAACCACCCAGACATGGATCATTAACTGCCCCCCCCAGCAGCAGCACCTTTTGTTTGTTCTCCAGGACAAATATTTCAGTTACAATGACTGAAAAACTGTCTCAACTTTAGACTCACCGTTTGTGTTTACTTTGTGAGTCCAAGTCCCTGCAAGCTTTTACATCCCGGAGTTTTCCGGGGCGTGGGATCTCCTGGCCATCCCACAGCAGCAAGTGGTCCTGGGCACATTCACCAGCCCTCTGCCATCTGCTCTGCCTCAGCTGGGGGCTGACACAGTCACCAGGGGCAGCCACCTCCTCCTGGGGTTGTTGGAGCCACATCTTCCCCATCCGCTGGATCCGGGTCCCGGCTCCCACCGAGCTGTGCCGTGGGTTTCCTTTGTAGGTCACTCTCTTAGGAAGAATGAGGGAAAACATTCATTGTGGATACCCCAGGAGGCAACCTGGGGTGCCTGTGCCATAGTCATTGCTGCATTTTGAGGCCCTCCTGTGCTCAGAGGCTGCATTTTGCAGCCGGTGTCTCTGGCTGTGTTGCCATGAGGCAGTCACACACAGTCTGCAAACCTAGGACCAGCAAAAACTTACTGGGAAAAGCTGTTCTAAATTCAGTGTGAAGAAAACAAGGGAGAAATAAGTATTGTGCAAGTGTGGGCACAGCAGTGTCTCCAGCCTTGGCCCCATCCCTGTCCCTGTCCCTGTCCCCTGCTGTTCCTCACGTCCTGCCCTCGCCCCTTTTGTCCTGTGGAGCACTTGGACTCAGATAAGGCCAATTAGCTCCTTGGAATTCCATTTATAAACAACTTCCTTTGGAAAGGAATCTCCAGCTATTTTAAACGTTTTCTTATCTGTGTTTTCTGGAGACAGAGATGGTTTGGGCGGGGTTGTTGCCTTTTGGGCTGTTTTTTAACTGAGTGATATTTCCTGAGGAGGTGTCAGGGAGGTGCATCCTGGACAGGAGATTTTGGTTTCATTTTTGCACGGAGGGGGCACTGTGGACCAGGACACTGGGTGAAAGGATTGTCAAACTGACTCATCATTGGCAGCTGCACGTTGGTACATGATATCAGCAGTTTGGATAATCTCTCCCTATCCCTTCCCACATCCTCGCAGTGGGGTGTTATGGCTGAGGAGGAAAGGGCTGGATAAAGAGCTACCTCCGTGTGCCCATGGGGAGAGTTGTTGTCCCGAGGAGAGGAGCTGCATCCAGTGCCTTGGCTGTTTATCAGCCAGGAATGGGCAGTTAGGGAAGAGCTGCCACCCTGTGAAATATTTGCAGGAGCAGCAGACAAAACAGTTCCCTTTGTAATGGAGCTGGGAAATACCATTTAAAAATAGTCCCAGTCATATCGTGTTTTCTCTCATCCATCTCACACATTCCCAGTGTTTTTAAGGCTGGGAAGCACAGACTTGCTTCGGAAGCCTGTGGCTGGAATTTTGGAGCTGCTCATGCAGTTTTTTATAGCTTGTTGACAGCACTTCACCCTTCTCCCAGCTCGGTACCCAGAGAAGGGATTTACACAGAGGGGGCTTGGCCTGGGACTGATTCCCTTCCCAGGGAAGTCATGGTGAGGTGGGACAAAATGGAGAATAATGCAGAGAGGAAAAAGTGGAGTAAGGCAGAGGCTGTGATTGTGCAATTATCACTCTCCCTCCTGCTTCCAGCCCCGTGTTCTCACAGATCTGTGTTCCTCTTGTCGGGATGCCCTTGGAACAGAGGGAGGAGAAAATCAAACTGGGAGGTGAGGGAGGGTGGAGAAAGGCAGGAATTGTACAGGTGGATCATCCATCTCTCACTGCAGCTCCCGATCCCACCTGCTCTGGCCCTCACAGCGCATTCTCACCTGTGTGGGTGGTTTTCAAATGCTCTGAGCAACCAAGGTTCCTGTTGCATCCTCTGCAGTTCCTGGGGTGGAATGCTGAGTGCCAAAGCTGGATCGGGGTAGCAGAGCTTTGTACTTGGGGGACTGTGTGATGCAAAACCAGCCCTGTATTCGCCTCCTACTGCTGGAGCTGCAAGAACACCTCCTGCCCTTCCAGCAGCTCCAGGCCTTCCTCCTGCCTGAGACCAAACTCTGAGCTGGGATTTGTAGGTGGGGATGTTTCACCTGCTCTCCAGATTTGCTGGCACTAAAAGCAGCTCTTCCGTCCAGCTTCCTTCTGGTAATTCTGACTCAGGCTTCCAGGAATGGAGGGTGGGTTTTTTCTTTCTTCTTCTTTTTATTTTTTTTTATTTTATTTAAAAATAGGAGTGTTTATGCCTCAGATCTTCCCATCTTTCTCTGCTGCTGGTGGAGCATGAGGCTCTGTGAGCCTGGCAGTCTGCACAGGCTGTAAACTTGGAGTAGTGCTGCTCCTGGAGTTGCTGATTGCTTTGGATGCCACGAGCTGCTGGCCTGACCTTGCTCGCTGTCGGGAAATTCCAGGGTGAAATTGTTTGTGTGGGAGCAGACAAAGGATCTCCTTGCCTGAGCCCCCCCAGCCCAGAGTGTCTTGGGAGCTCTCTCTCCTCGCTGGCAGTGGCACAGCAGGCTGGATGGGCCAGGGATCACACGTGTCCAAGGATCTTTGTTGGTGTATTTCTGGGCTTGCTGGGGTTGGAGGGCTGAGGGTTTGGAGCTCTTCCTCACCTGCACCCTTTGTGTTCCAGCTGTTCTCATCCAGCACACCATTCCCTGGCCTGAATAACTCCCATGACCACGTTCCTGCTGTCCCCAACACCCCGCTCCTCATCAGCTACCAGGTGAGAGCGGTGGGTGGCCTCTGTGGGATGGGACACCAGGCTCCTGGTGACATCCCAGTGCGGGGGGAGCAGTTCTGACCCTTTTCCCTCCAGAGGGAATGAGACAAGAAAACACAGATCCCTGCCTTTTGCAGGAGTGTGTTGTATTTCCTGGGGTGGAACCTCACTGTGTTAAGGGACACTTTGGGCTCTCAGGACTTTGCCCTGTGCTGCTGGCACCACGCTGGTTTAAAGCTGTGCCAGGTGCCTCACTCAGGGCAGGGGAGGGCACAGCCCATCCGAAAGGTGCTGCAAACATCTTTCCCCAATTCAGTGAGGACCAGGCAGCTCTTACAGCCCCTGGGGTTGGCCCCCACTGGTGGTTGCCCTTAGTCTGTAAATGAGATGGATTGTGTCTGGAGGGTTTGGGGGATGGTTTCAGTGGCAGGTTGTGGCAGGGCACAGCACTGCACGTGTCCATAGCTCAACATTAATGTTGGGTCAATGCTTCTCTCCAGTCTCAGGCTCCTGCAGAGGAGGAGGATGAGGGTGAGGAGGAAGAAACGGAAGAGTTGGGGCAAACGGAGACCTATGCAGAATACATCCCTTCAAAGTGTGAGTGTTGCCATGGGAAATGCTGTTCACTCCATTGTGGACCAGCCTATTTCACTGCTCCCTTAATTTCCTGGGAGCAGTATCTGGTGTTCTCTGTGGCACCTCCCAGGCTTGTGATTTTCTGGGAAAACTCTACAGTGACCAGGGCTGCAGCCAGTTGATGAGCTCTGAGGTGCCCCTGGGAGTAAAGACCTCGACTTACCTGTGTTCTGTTGTCATTTAGCCAAGATTGGGAAGCACCACCCTGACCTGGTGGTTGAGACGAGTACCCTGTCCAGCGTCCCCCCCCCTGACATCACCTACAGCCTGTCCCTGCCGTGCTCCGTGGCTGACAAGGGCTCCCTCTCTGCACTACAGCTGGAAGCAATCATCTATGCCTGCCAGGTACTGCCTGCACCTTGCCCATCTCCTACCCCTCAAGAAAACTGCCTCTGGTAGGGACAAGTGTTCATGTGGTTTAAAATAACTGTAATTCAGGTGGTGAAACTCCTTTGGCATTTTAAGTGCCTTTCAAAGGATTATTTGAAGCCAGGGAGTTCTGTGGGGTCTGTTTCCCAAAGGGGCAAGAACCCTGGACTTTTGTTGTGGAGAGCTGTGCATTTTGGGGCCTTTTCCATGAACTGCCACTCATGAGCTTGGCCCTGACCCCTGACCCTTCCTGCCATCCTTTATCTGAGCAGGACGTGCACGTGCATCGATGGGACGTGTGGAAGGGTTAAGCAGTGCTCACATCAAAGCTGTTAGCAAAGGCAAATCTAGTTTAATTTCCAGTTCTGTTCTTGATTTTGCAGCAACATGAAGTTTTATTGCCCAGTGGGCAGCGAGCTGGGTTCCTCATTGGGGACGGTGCCGGAGTGGGAAAGGGCAGGACCGTCGCGGGCATCATCTTTGAAAATTATCTTAAAGGGAGGAAAAAAGCTCTGTGGTAAGTTGTTGGGTTTTTTTCTCTCTTTTCCCGTAAGACCTCGGAGTTAGTTTGGATCTAGAAGTAAGGAATTCCTTAGTGCTGATGTTGGCTTTAGAGTTGAGTCATGCTGTGGCCTTGGGTAAGTCGTTTCCACCTCTTACTGCCTGGTTGCTGCCTGTGCAATGGGAATATTCTGCCTGCAGCAGGGCTGGAGAGTGAGTCACTGTGAAAGAGCAGGTTTTGTGCTCCTGGGGGTGCAAGGACCGGTCTGGCCCCGCTCTCTCTGGAGTCGTGGAGGGGTGTGATGGGTTTCCTGGGTGCAGAGCCAGGAGTGGGGCCTTGCTGCAGATCACACACAGCCTGTACCAAGGGGCAGCTGTCAGATCTCAGGTTGGGCTGTGTGGGCAGTGATGTGACAGCTCTGCAGGGCTCCTCCTGCTTTAGTCAGAGCTGGTAATCACTGTGAGCCTCAGCTGCCTGGGGACATACCCAGCCCTGACTCCTCAAGGAGATACCCAGCCCCAACTGCCTGGGGGAGATAACCAACCCCAGGAGGAGATAACCCACCCCACTCCCACTTCACAGGTTCAGCGTCTCCAATGATCTCAAGTACGATGCTGAGAGAGACCTGAAGGACATCGAGGCCTCCCACATTCCTGTGCATGCTCTGAACAAGGTAGGAGAGCTGCCCTGGAACTCAGCCCACAGGAGCAGTTGGAGGCTCTGCCTGGGCACGTGGGGCAGTGTCAGACACTGAGCTGCCTGTGTTCCCTCCTCCCAGCCCACTTCCCACTCGGGGCTCCAGCTGTTTTTATACCCCATGAGCCACACGGGGAGCACAGAGTTGTTCCCTGCAGGGAGTGGGAAGTGTCTCCAGGCAAGTGCAAGTACAGCAGGACGGGAACCTTCTTCACCATTCCTGAGGAATCCCGTGGAGGGAATAGCTCTGTGACATGTGCTCTGCTCTTCTGGGCTGGCCTTTGCCAGTGCTGGTTCATGGAGCCACTTCTCAGAGCATGCAGGGAGCACAGAGGTGCCCGGGCTGGTCCCTGGCACACCCATGGAGCATGTGGGCATTTCCCCCAGATGAGCAGATTAGAGGATTTTCAGGCTTTCTTCAGTTACTCAGTGATGAGGCTGAAGTGTTTCTCAAAAGCACCATCAGCAGTTGTGGGATGATTATTCACAGGGCTCTTTGTGGCCTGCTTGAGTCTCTGTCCAGTGTTTTCCAGTTCACTGAAACCCTTTCCTCTGGTTTTAATGGTATTGAACAACCAGCTTTTACAAAGTCCATAGAAACCACAGGTGTTTGACACCTCTGAATGCCTTCCACTAAGAGACTGAAAGGGATTTTGTTTTCAGCCCCAAAAGACTTTAAATGGAACTTTTTTCAGCTTGGGGCCAGGGGTTTTTCCCCAACCTTGGATTTCTTTACAGGTGAGACCCACGGCAGTGGGACAGGCAACAATCTCACCTGGCCAAAGACAAAAGGATTTTCTAGAAGGAATTGAAACAGGCAGGAGGGTTCAAAGCAGTGAAACACTCTAAACTGTTGCTTAAAAAAACGAAGCACTTTTTTTGCCAGAAAATCGAGGTCCTCGTGTGTTCCCCACAGTTCACTGCAGGCGTCCAGATGTGCTGACACATTGGCTGGGGCACTTCTCCAGACATTTACAGTCCCTGTCATCACCCTGTCTCAGTGCCAACAGAAATGCCGAAGGCATCAGCTACTAACAGCTTTTTGTCTGTTCTGAGCTCAGACTGGGGTTTGTTCTGGGATCAGGAGTGTGTGTCCGGCGTGGCCGTGGGCAGGGAGGGCTGTGACGTGCTGGGGACAGCGATGATGAGTGTGTGTGCTCTGGTTCTTCCTTCCTGCAGATTAAATACGGTGACACAGCTACCTCAGAAGGAGTCCTCTTTGCCACCTACTCGGCGCTGATCGGGGAAAGCCAGGCCGGGGGACAGCACAGGACGCGCTTAAAACAGATCTTGGACTGGTGCAGGGAAAACTTTGATGGAGTTGTATCCTTAAAAAAACCCCCAAACAGTCAAAAACTGGAGAGAGTGGGACTGCCACTTGTGATTGTGCTTCACTAGGGAACAAAGAGCTTGGGGCCATCTGAAGTCACAGGGAGCTGCTGTGGGAGCAGCCCGGTGCCTGCGGGAGGTATTTTAGTGCTGTGAGTACATGAATCCCCACACTCGGATCTCCTCCTCCTCCTTCTCCCAGGATGCAGTTAAGGAGAGGAGGGGAAGAAGCAGCTGGGATTAACCTTTTCACATTCCTCTCCCTCAGCATTACAAGACAAAACACACCTTGGAGGTGAAGGGAAAGGGAGGGGGAGATGACTTAGGGTCTGAGGAGCAGAGGACTGGGCAAAGGCAGCAGATTCCACGTGTGGGGAAGGAGTGGGTCCGTACTGGGACTGGGTGTTGGGTTGGATGAAGGCGGCTTGGCTGTATTTTCTGTCTGCTCCCATCCTCGGGATGAAAATAGATCCTTTCTCCTTAACTGACATTCCCCTACAGATCGTGTTTGACGAATGCCACAAAGCCAAAAATGCCAGCTCTACCAAAATGGGCAAAGCAGTGCTGGACCTGCAGAACAAGCTGCCTCAAGCAAGGGTTGTCTATGCCAGTGCCACAGGTGAGCTGCTCTGCTCAGGGGGTGGGTGTGAAGAGTGGCAGGTCTCCTCTGACCTGGAGGCCACTCTGAGGTGTGAGTGTGTGTGCTGAGAGCACGAGGCTGTGCGAGGAGAGGTCAGTGAGTGCTGCAAGGCTGGAGAGGAGCTCAGAGTGCCAAGATCTGCCCCAAGCCCCATCACTGATGTTACTTGTAGCTTTTTGGCAGGTCAGACTAATTTCTCTCCAGTTTAACTTGTTCCTGGCCAGCTGTTCCAGCTGTGTGGTGACACTTACCCACTCAGTGTAGGGAGGACAACATTTGGAAAGGTGTCCTAAGGCACCATGGCAAATGACAACCTCTTCAGAGTTCTCTTCACTTGAGTCACAACTGCTCCCAGGTGCTGTGGGTTTGCTGACAGTGAATTCTGTCCAAACAGGTGCCTCGGAGCCAAAAAACATGATTTACATGAGCCGCCTGGGGATCTGGGGGGAGGGAACCCCGTTCCGAGCCTTCGATGAGTTCCTGCACGCGATTGAGAAGAGGTGAGTCCTGTCCCCCCCGGGCAGGGGGAGCTGTGGGAAGGGGGTGCATGAGCCAGAGGAGGGGCTGGGGCTGCAGAGGCAGCAGCTGGGGGTCAGTGCTGGGGTCACTGCTGGGGGTCACTGCTGGGGTCACTGCTGGGGTCACTGCTGGGTCCCACAATTGCCACCCTCTCCCAGGGGAGTCGGGGCGATGGAGATCGTGGCGATGGACATGAAGGTCAGTGGGATGTACATTGCCCGGCAGCTCAGCTTCACTGGGGTGACCTTCAGGATCGAGGAGATCCCGCTGGATGAGCAGTACAAGGCTGTCTATGACAAGGCAGCCAAGCTGGTGAGCTGGGCCCGTTGTAGTGGGAGGCTGAGGTTCACCCATGCTTTGGGTATGGCCACTGGTATGTGGGAGGGTTTGGGGACCCTAAATGAGGCCATGACCTCAAACATTAGAAAGAAAAGGGGTACACAATGGTCAGCTGATGTAAAAAAACCACCACCATATACTTTTTTGCCTCTGTTTGAAAGTTCCATATTTGCAAACCAGAGCTTTGTCATGGTGGTGCAGAGAATGACCAGAGCGTTCATTCAGCCCAACACAGCGACATAAACACTGATCCTAAAGCAGATTATCAGCCCCCAGACTGCTCTGATCACCTCCTGCGTGGCAGGAATGACAGTGGAGATGAGGATATTAACTCGTGCCTCTCGCTGTCGTCCACAGTGGGCAGAGGCCTTGATGGTGTTCCAGCAGGCAGCCGACTGCATCGGGCTGGAGTCGCGGAAGTCGCTGTGGGGTCAGTTCTGGTCGGCTCACCAGCGCTTCTTCAAGTACCTGTGCATCGCTGCCAAGGTGCGGCGGCTCGTGGAGCTGGCCCGGGAGGAGCTGGCCAGGGACAAGGTACTGGGGCAGCCCCGCCAGCCTGACCCGACGTGTGATGGTCGTGCCCGGGTTTCGCAGAACGTTCCCAATGAATGATGCTGGGGAGTTAACGTGGCCTCCTCTCCCGAGGCATTACCCTCTGCTGGTGTGGGGGGGATGTGGGCAGGCTGGTCTGGGATGGGATTTTGGGTCGTGTTCAAGCTGAAAGTGTCCAAGGCCGGGTTGGATGGGGCTTGGAGCAACCTGGGCTAGTGCAAAGTGTCCCTGCCCATGGCAGGGGCTGGGACTGGATGAGCTTTAAGGTCCTTTCCAACCTAAACCACCCTGGGATTCTAGAAGAGGTACCAGACCCTTCACCTTGAGCACAGCTCTGTCCTTTCATCCACCTGGGTGCACCTTGGAAATTTTAGGCAGAAGATCCCTAGCACAGGTCTGTGCTCAGAGTCACTCTCTGTGGGGTCAGCCCAGGGGGCTGTTGGATGCTGAAAGGTTTGAGAGATGGTTCTTCATCAGGAGCCCTGCCATGGGCCCAGCATGGATTTATTTGGGACAGGGTTCAAGGGGAGTACCTGGGTCTGGGAAATACCTCTTGAGCCTGGAGCTGTGCCCCTGCCCTGACACCTCCCTGTGCCATCCCTCGTGTCCCCGCAGTGCATCGTCATCGGCCTGCAGTCCACGGGGGAGGCTCGCACCAGGGAGGTCCTGGACGAGAATGATGGGCATCTCAACCGTTTTGTCTCTGCTGCAGAGTGAGTTAAAAATCCCTGTTTTCCTTTGGGGGTGCGTGGGAGGCCAGAGGAGTGGGAGGAAAGCTCCTGCACAGAGCACTGGCTGTTCTTGAAATGCAGTTTGACGTCACCTCCCCCTGTACCGTGGAGAGGACACTCAGAGGGGTCCATGGGGCACTGTGTCTTCAGTGGGACTGTATGAGCTACATCCTGGATTTTGAAGTCTCCTGTGGTCCAGACTCGCAGGAACAGCCTGATCCCACTCTCTACACACGTAAAAGAACTGGCAGGTGTAGGAGAGCCAGGAATGGAGCTCAGATGTAGTTTGTGTGTGTCTGGTTCTGGAAAATGAGGGTGTTGACACGAAAGGAATGAGCAAGAGAATCTTCTGTAATGGCAGAGGCTGTGATGATGCTGTGAGGTGGCATCACTGGAGCAGGGCAAGGGACGAGTGGTCTGAGGACCAGTGTTGGCTTTGAGCTCATGTATGGGACAGGACCAGTGTCCTGGCTGTGTGGCCATCCTGGCTGACAGGAGAGCTGGCTGTGCCAGCAGAGAGCCAGCAGCAGGACTCGTGCTGCCCACTCAGCAGAGTGAGGCTCCTCCTCCCCTCCTGCCTGCAGCTTCCAAAACACCAGCCCATCCCTGAACGTGACTGAACCTGCACAACGGGTGACAAAAGCCTGGGACATGGGGTTGGGTTGAGTTTCCTCTGTAGTGCAGGGCTGTTTTCTTCTGAAGTGACTTTTGATGCGTGTCTGGGTTAGGCCGAGCTTTCCTCCCTTGGTGCTGGGGTTTGGGTTGGTCTGTGTGACTCTGCTGTGTCCAGCCCAAACCACAGTTTGGGGACAGTGCACAGGGCAGGTCTGGCAGCTGCTTGGGTGATTTGGTCTCTTGATCTCTTGGATTGGTTTCCATGTCACGGAACTCAGGTGTAGAGGACAGTGTGGTCCCTGGAGCCGGGGGGTCCCACACTGTGTGACTGTCCCTGGCCCCAAAGGCAGGAACTCTGTGTTCCTCAGCCCTGGCCGGATCACTGAGTGTCTCCTGGCATCTGCTCAGCCTCCAAATGTGTGTCCTGGTGTTCCAGCACTTCGGGGGATTTCTGGAGGGGAGTGTGCTGGGAAGGAGCGGTTGGTTAAAGATGCCGAGAAATGGGGTTAAAAATAAACATTGTTCTGTGAGTGGATTCCAGCCCAGGGCTCTGTCTGCAGGGAGACAGGGAGGGTGAGTGCCGGGAAATGAGCAGAATTGCACGGCAGGGAGGCTCCAGAGTGAGTGTTCTTTTGGGCAGGGTCACCCCAGCACACGGGACAAGGGGCCATTCTCGGTGCCACAGAACTGCAGTCACAGAGCTCTGTCCCTCGGGGGAGCAGCGTGGTCCCTGTCCCCTTCAGCCCCTCACACTAAGGGTCCTAGAGCTCCCTCCCCAGTTCCCAAGGCTCCCTTTTCTCACCCAGGGGAGTTGTCATGTTCATCCTCTCACCTGTCACTTGCAACATTTGGGGTTTCGGGGGTTTTTTGGATTTTTCTCAAGCAGAGCTTATTCAGCACCTCATTCTCATTGCCCTGAGGGTTCATCCACACAGTCAGCATTTAAACATTTGCTCTCTGATTTGTAGAACAGCCCACAGAAACCTTTGGTTTTCATTTTTTCTGATGTTTTTTTCCATTCACCTGAAACCACTACGGATCCATGTTCAGCCACTTGGTTTCGTGGGAAGCAGGCCCACAGCCAGGGAGTCGGAGGACTTGGTGGAGCACATTTGTTGGATGGCCTGGTGGTGGTCTGTGCTCTCAGGGCATGGAGAGAGGCTGGACACTGGGACTTACTGGATTTTTGATGTAGCAGCTTCCCAGTGTAGTGTTTCCCATTTAAAACTCCCTCTTGGTTGCTCTATAAAGGTCCTGCAGCCTTGACACACTCTCAGGCTCCAGGAGCTGTCCCGTATCCGGGGCTGGCTGAGCCCGTGGTGGCAGCCCTGGGGCAGGATTGACCTCTCTTCCCTGGAATGTGGGGCTCTCCTAAATACACACGTGGTACTTGGTAACCAGCACATGTTCCTGGTAGCTGGAATAAATTTTGCATCTTACTTTCAGAGGCGTCTTTCTATCACTAATTCAGAAGCACTTTCCTTCAACCAAAAGAAAGAGAGAAAAAGGAACTGGCATTAAAAGAAAACGTAAGAGCTCCCTCACTCCCAGCCCAGCCCCTGCCTCCTGCCCTGCTGCTCCCCCCCAGCCACTCACTTGTTCTCTGCCTCTTGCCCTTCTCCCCACTCCATGCTTTTTGCTGCTCTCCTTGGTTTCTGTTTGCCCTCCCACACATCTGTCGCTCCTTCGTCCGGTGGACAGCAGGTCTGGGTCATCCACCCTTTTCTTGCCTCTGCCCCACTGCCCTGTCCCAGTGCAGGGCCTGCCCTCTGCCCCTGCCCCGCGGCTGTGCCCCCTCCCCTCAGCCTGGGCTGGGGGCAGATGGCACAAGGCCTGGCTGGTGTCCGAACCCTCCTGCAGCCAGAGGGTTCCTCCGTGACACCCTACGTAGGGCATTGCATGTGTCCAGGGGAAAACAGTCACTTCCCTGCAGGTTATTGGCTGTGGCTGCAGGTAAGAAGAGTTTTGGGATTTCTCCTCTAGTGGGATGTGAGAAAGGGGGAAGAGGGGGCAGCAGCACTGGCAGGTTGTGGAGCTGGTCTGTGAACCCTCTCATGTAGCAGTGGCACATCTTGCTGTGCTTGGAAGCAAACAATGTCCCAAAACACTGGCACCTTCCCACGTCCTGCCCACTCCTCTGGAAGCAGTCCCCTGGGATTACTTCTCTGAGGAGCTGGCACTGCTCAGTGTCCATCCTGACATGTGCAGCCAACTTTCAGCCCTGCTCAGGAGTGCCTTGTTCTTCCTTTCTCTCTCTTCCTTTCTCTTTCCCGCTCTCCCTCCCTCCCTCCCTAACTGCCCCCCACCCCTGAGGCTCTGTTTTTGCGAGGTCAGCCTGTCATTTGGGGCAGTCTCAGCTATTTTGGGATTCCTCCTCCTCTCTCTGAGCTGGCCCTTGCTGCCCTGTGCTGGAGCCTCCCTGGGGCCGGTGCCGTGACCCGCTCGCTCTCTGTGCAGGGCGGCCGCGGGGCCGGTGGCCCAAGGCTCTGCGGGGCCTGTGTGACCCAGGGGTCATCAAGATCAGCGACGACAGCAGCACCGAGTCCGACGACTCGCCCAGCGACATCAACTCCTCCCCGGAGTCCCTGGTGGAGACGGACGACGTCATCTTCGTGGAGCAAACGTACACCGGCTGTGCCGCCGAGGGTGAGCGGGCACTGGGACTGGGGCACTGGGACTGGGGCACTGGGTCCTGCAGGGAATGGCAGCCCCTCCGGGCCTGGGACAGCCTTGGACCTTGGCTGGTTTTTGTCCTGATGGTCACACTCCGGTCTGGGAGGTGGATCCACATTTACCTGCTGTGTTCAGAGAGCAGGAGGGATTTCCCCTTTGTCCTTCCTCCACCAAAATGGAGAAGTCCAGAGGGAATTCACTCTGTGCTCAGCAGCATTTACTGCAGGTCATGGTGTCTTTGCCCATTGACAGTGCTCCCAGAAACCCTCTGAGACAACTTCTTCCCCCTCTCTGATTTGCAGTTACCAGGTAACTCAGCTTTTGTTGTTTACATTGCAGGTAGTTTTCACATGCTGCCTTCCCAGAAAGAGCTGCACGGCCTGAGGGAGCTGGAGATGGTGGAAAAGATGAAGCAGGACCTCCTGGCAAAAGTGCAAGCACTGGGCAAAGAGCTACCTCTCAACACCTTGGATGAACTGATTGATTACTTTGGGGGCCCAGAGAATGTGGCTGAGGTACTCCCCACCGTCAGGAGTGCATTTTGGTGGCAGGGTGACAGGGAAAGGGGCCAACATAGAATCATGGAATGGTTTGGGTTGTAAAGGACCTTAAAGCTCATCGTGTTCCTTGGGCAGGGACACCTTCTGCTAGATCAGGTTACTCCCAGCCCTGTCCAACCTTGACTTGAACACTTCCAGGGATGGGGCAGCCACAGCTTCTCTGGACAACCTGGGCTGGGGCCTCACTGCCCTCACAGGGAAAAATTTCTTCCGTAAAAAAAATAATGTTCCTGCTGGCAGAGGGTTCCCTCTCCCTGGCACTCGGAAAAGCTGTTGAGGGCTGCCTGGATGGCCGGGCTGGGCCGTGTGGGTCTCCCCTCTCACAGCCCCTCTCTGTGTGCAGATGACGGGACGGAAGGGCCGCGTCGTCCGCAGGCCCGACGGCTCCGTGGTGTTCGAGTCCCGCGCGGAGCAGGGGCTCTCCATAGACCACGTCAACCTGAAGGAGAAGGAGCGCTTCATGAACGGGGACAAGGTGAGTCGGGGTCGGGCTGAGGGGAGGGAGGGTGCCTGTGCATCCCTGTGCCCCGCCAGCCTCAGGCCAGCAGCTTTCTGTTGGTGTGACCTGCTGGAAGCTGGCGAGGATTCCCAGATCCCTCTGTGCGCCGGGGTTGCTGTTGTGCTCGGGCCTGTTTCCTGAAGCAGTTTTACACGCGTCCAGGAACCTCACCCTGTTCTCACTTGTCTCTCCTGTAGCTCGTAGCGATAATCTCGGAGGCCTCCAGCTCAGGGATCTCCCTCCAAGCAGACAGACGGGTGAAGAACCAGAAGCGCCGGGTCCACATGACCCTGGAGCTGCCCTGGAGCGCGGACCGGGCCATCCAGCAGTTCGGTGAGGGCTGGGTGTCCCTGGGCACTGCCCCTGCCCCTGAGTGTCAGCCAGGCCGTGGAGCCCAGGCACCCTGGGAGGGATGGGTGGTGGCTGCCTGAGCTGGGCTCCTGCCACAGCCAGGCAGGTGCCTTTAGGAGATGTCTCTGTGGGAAAAGGACAGAGCCACAGTCACAGCCACACACCCTGTTGCTGCTGAGACTTGGCAGAGCCGGGCTTGTAGTCCTGAGCTCTGGGGCAGAGGGGGGACTCTGCAGGGTGAGCAGGACGGGTGTTATTTGGCTTTTCTGGTTATGTTCCTGCTCCAGACAGGCCGTCCCAAGCTCCCCTTCCAGCCCTGTTCTCGTGTCCCCGTAGGCCGGACGCACCGATCGAACCAGGTCTCTGCTCCAGAGTACGTGTTCCTGATCTCAGAGCTGGCAGGGGAGAGGAGGTTTGCATCCATCGTGGCCAAACGCCTGGAGAGCCTGGTGAGTGCCCACAGCAGGGACCGGCTGTCGGCTCCAGTTCCCTCTGAGGACATTCCATGCTGGGGCTCACACTGGCATGGCCAGTGTAACTGGGGGATTGTGTCACCCCTGACTGAAGGCACTGCAGTTGTGGAATGCAGAAGGCTTTTAGCATCCTGGGATTTGGGAAAGGAAGTGAGGAAGAATACGTAATCAAGGCGTTGGGAGGAATTTCAGGGAAGCAGAACCCAATTCCAGATGCTGGAATTCCCCCACTATTTCCAGAGCATACATTCTGTTCTCAAAAAGCTAATGAAATAATTAATAGAATAATGAGTTTGTTTCATTTTCTTCACTTCTGATAAATCCCCCAATCCTTTGGTAAAGTCTCAGTATCCCTGAGGAACACTGCCTCCCCATGGCACATTTTCACCCTGGCCTCTTCCTTTGGCCTTTGGCCATCCTTCCCTGATGTTTTGCAACAGCTCAAAGTCATGTTTTCTTCCATCTGCCTTCCCAGGGTGCCTTAACTCACGGGGACCGACGGGCCACCGAGTCCCGGGACCTCAGCAAGTACAACTTCGAGAACAAGGTGACAGGGCTGCCCTGGGGCAGCATGGCCCAGGGGGCTGGAGGAGCTGGGAGAGCCCTTGGTGGGATCTGGAGCCGGGAAGGTCATTGGTGGCACCTGCAGGCAGGGCCCAGCCTAGCACCCAGCTCCCTGCTGCTCCAGCTCCCCCCAGCTCCCCCCAGCTCCCCCCAGCTCCCCCCAG